ACTAGAAAGCGGCCTTTAGCATTTCTAAAAAATGAATCTTTTTTTGGGGGGGAGGGGTATTATATCAATTGCTTTTTGGAAAGAAGGTCCACGATACTGTCAGCAAGTATTTTAAAGAGCCAAACCATTAGCCGAGTGGGCCAATTAAGACAAACATGGGAAAGAAAACAACCATCTGCGCCTCGATATGCTCAACAAGGAAGCCGCTGGCAAAGTCTTTTTGTTAATTATGTCTGGGCTCTTGAAGCCAGCCTATCACATGGCACTGAAATTTTATTGTGCAAGTGGGGACCCGCAACAAAAAGTTGCTTATTGTGGCTGTGGAGGTGAGTGGGGGGGGGGGGGGGGATGTAAAAACACCCCGCCCGGTGTATTTTTTTAACTTTTCATATTTTTCTGCAAACCTAGTTTGCAGAAAAACCTGGTTAGTGCAACGGCACCTTCAAGGCCAACGAAGTTTTGTTCAAGGCATAAGCTTTCCAGGGCACGCATGCTAAATCCGAAGAAGGTATCTGAAGAACTGTGGAAGCACCTGAAAGCTTATAAAGGTAAAGGTTTCCCTTGCTCGAAAGCCAGTCGAAGCCGACTCTAGGGTTGCGGTGCTCATCTCAATTTCCAAGCCGAAGAGCCAGCACTGTCCAAAGCCGTTTTCGTGGTCATGTGGCCGGCATGACTAAACGCCGAGGCACACGGAACGCTGTGACCTTCCCACCAAAGCAGTACCTATTTATCTACTTGCAATGTGTCAGAAACTGCTAGGTTGGCAGGAGCTGGAAACAGAGACGGGAGCTCACTCCGTCATGCGGCACTCGGGTCTTGAACTGCTGAACTACCAACCCTCTAGCCTGCAGTTCAGTGTTGGTCTTAAAGGAGCCACGGGACTCAAACTGTGTTCTGTTGCTTCAGGCCAACATGGCTACCCACCTGAATCTCTTTAGTGCAGGTGTGGCCCCCGATTCGTGGATTCAGATATCCATAGGCTGGGGGACACACTTGGGAAGTAGATATATAGATGAAGTAGATGTGCTTCTGACTCTCTGTGCGTCTCGATCTTAGCTCATCTGTGATCGTAAAAATTAAATATTTATTGATGGGAATAACCTTTATTATAGCCAACCGAGGTGTGCCGTCTTTTCTGTGAGTTTTCGAGCCGTACAGACCCTCTTCCTCAGGCAGCATGTTAAGCAGAGCAAAATCTATTTTCTAAAGAAAGTGAGAAAACAACGCTTCTGTCTGTGGTTGAAATCGTAATGTGATAATGGAGGAGACCTCTCTGGAGTAACCAGGTTGAAGCGAACCTGCTGCAAAACAGATTGCTTGAAATTGGACTGTGGCAGGGAGCCGGGGAGCCGCTTCCCCTGAAAACCAGGTGCTATCAAACTCTGTTTTTCGTAGCTGCCAAAAGGTGTGGCTTCCTTGCGACTCCGCGAGTGGTGGCTTTTTATGTTCAGAAAGCTGAAGGTTTATTTTTAGAAAACGTGTACGATCCAGGACCAGCCGAATTTCAGGTAGTGCGTAGGCATAAGCCCTTAAAATTCAGAATTTTTCAGATTTGGATTTCAGGAAGGGTTTTCATACTGGTATGCTGGGTTATTTGGGTCCCCAAATATTGCTTTGGAATTCAGATCTGGGCTTTTTTCTGAATTCTGAAATGTCTCTGGTCTGTTATTCCCTCTGGGGAGTTTTTGAGAGCCCTACAGACTCCTTCCGTGGGCAGCGTGTTGAACAAAGGAAGCCAGTTTGGTGTTGCGGTTAGGGACTCTGATCTGGGAGGAACCGGGTTTGACTCCCCACTCCTTCACCCCCACTCCTCCACCTGCTGGTGTGACCTTGGGTCAGTCACAAGCTCTGACACAGCTGTCCTTGAAAAAGCCGTTTCTCTCAGAGCTCTCTCAGCCCCGCCTACCTCACAGGGTGTCTGTTGTGGGGAGGGGAAGGGAAAGGAGTTTGTAAGCCGCTCTGAGACTCCGAGTGAAGGGCGGGGTATAAATCCAATCTCCTTCTCCTCTTCTTCTTCCTCCTTCTTTCTCCTCCTCCTTATTTATTTATTATTTGTATTTATAGCCCACCCATCCCATGAGCGGGCTCAGGGCGGGTTACATCGTATTAGTAATACAATAAATACTATTAAAAATTTAAAATACAATAAAAAACATTAAAACGAGAGAGGTTGCCTAGTATATTATTTGGCTTGGTAGATGGATAACTGGTTGCCTTGCATATTATCTGGTTTGCTAGGTGGGTGACAACCTCAGGGATGCCATGGATGGGTGCCCACTGCCTCAGCCAAAGGCCTGGCGGAAGAGCTCCGTCTTGCAGGCCCTGTGGAATTGAAGAAGATCCCGCAGGGCCCTAATCTCGACAGGGAGCATGTTCCACCAGGCAGGGGCCAGGGCAGATAAAGCCCTGACCCTGGTTTGGTGTAGTGGTGTAGAGCCAGTTTGGTGTAGCGGTTAAGTGCGCGGACTCTAATCTGGGAGAACCGGGTTTGATTCCCCACTCCTCCACCTGCTGGTGTGACCTTGGGTCAGTCACAAGCTCTGGCACAGCTGTCCTTGAAAAAGCCGTTTCTCTCAGAGCTCTCTCAGCCCCGCCTACCTCACAGGGTGTCTGTTGTGGGGAGGGGAAGGGAAAGGAGTTTGTAAGCCGCTCTGAGACTCCGAGTGAAGGGCGGGGTATAAATCCAATCTCCTTCTCCTCTTCTTCTTCCTCCTTCTTTCTCCTCCTCCTTATTTATTTATT